TTTTATTTCTGTTGCCTTGGGAGACTGATCTAAGAAAACATTGGTATGATTTCTGTCAGAGAATGTTTTGCCTGTGATCTCTTCTAGGAGTTTTATGGTGCCCTGTCTTATGTTTAAGTCTTTAAGCCATTTTGAGTTTATTTTTGTGTGTGGTGAGAGGGTGTGTTCATTGATTTACATGCGGCTATCCAACTTTTCCAACACCACTTGCTGAAGAGACTGTCTCTTTCCCATTGTATATTCTTGCCTCCTTTGTCAAAGATTAATTGACCGTAGGTGTGTGGGGCTTTTTGTTTCTTAATTTTGTAATTTGTGTTTTGAATAACATTGTATATAACTGTTTTTGTCAAGAGTTTGAAGGCTGTTAATCATTCACTAAGAATTTTATAACTCATATATTTTATATTCTTAGTCCTAAAAATGGCTAAAACTTCTTACAGTAGCCACAGAAATAAAATAAGGGGAGATAGGTTGAGACAAAAAAGCCCATGATTTATATTTTAGCAGATATTTTTCAGACCTGTACTGTGTGTCCAGATCTTTTCCCCTCCCTCCTCCTTCCCCAGGTCCTGAGTACCAGGCAGTTTCTCCTACCTTAATCCAATCTGTCCTCTCTCACCAGACCGCTGCTGTGCCCCCCGCCCCCAGTCTTGATCTTTCTGAGTTATTCTCCTCACATTAATCAACTGGGAGGAAATATTTACAACACATTCAAATGAAAGTTTTTTTTATTTTAATGTAAAGAGCTCTTAAGAAATCAATGTGCTGCTTCCCTGGTGGCTCAGTGGTTAAGAATCCACCTACCAATGCAGGGGACATGGGTTTGAGCCCTGGTCCGGGAAGATCCCACATGCCGTGGAGCAAGTAAGCCCGTGTGCCACAACTACTGAGCTTGTGCTCTAGAGCCCACGAGCCACAACTACTGAGCCCACACACCTAGAGCCTGTGTTCCACAAGAGAAGCTACCGCAATGAGAAGACCGCGCACCACAACGAAGAGTAGCCCCTGCTTGCGTCAACTAGAGAAAGCCCGTGCACTGCAATGAAGACCCAATGCACCCAAAAATAAATAAAGAAAATAAATAAATTTATAAAAAAAAATCAATGTGAAGACTCCATGTACACAAATAAAACAAAATGGGGGCCCTTATGGTTGGTAAATATAAAAAAATGTGCTACTTCTCTAGGAATGAAAGAAACACAGATGCTATTTATGCCTATCAACTTGTATGAGGTTAAAGAAATGTATGCAGTATTAGCAAGGGTTTGGGGATTAAAAAGCTCTTAAACATTGCTAGTTGGAGTTTAAAATGGTGTAGCCTTTCTGGAGGGCGGTTTGATAACATGTAGCAGGAGACTTTAATCTAGCAATTCCACTTCTATGCACTTATCTTAAGGCAATAATAATAGGACAGTGTTCAGAAACCATGTGTTTGTAGAAGGATGTTTGTTGGAACTGTTTATAGTGATGAAAGACAGCAAACAGCCTGACTTAGGGCAAAATATATAAAATTTGATACATCTCAACAATGGAATTTTATGGAGCAATAAAACATGATAATGTAGAAGATTTTTAAAATTTACCCTGAAACACTTCTGTAGTATATTTAAGTGAAAAAGTAGGTTACAAAGCAGCATGTATAATTCAACCTCCTTTTGAGAGGAAGAAATGTGTTGGTGGGGTATGTATAGATAGCACAGGGGAAAGTCTGGAAGACTATATGACAGAATGCTAATGTGTTTTACTTTGATGGTAAGTATGTAGGTGGCTTTAATATTTTTTTAATCTCTTTTCTGTAGTTTGTTGTTACCTATGACAAACAAGTATTATATGGTAAAATATATATTTTTTTTCTTTGGAAAAGACATGGTTTCCTTCTCCAGAGGTTGAGAGCTGGGACTTAATATATAATGTTTTCATTTTCTTTGAGAGCCAGTGTACCTAAGTAAACTCCTTAGGGAGCTTAAGAAAAAATATATTAATTCTGGGTAGTTAGGTACATGACTGGATGTTACATCATTTTGTTGTTTTCTACGTGTTTGAAATGTATTATAATTTAAAATTTTTTCACCTTTAAGATTTACAATAAAGTGGGAGAAATAAACACATGTAAAGTAACTATAATATAAATATACTGTTACTTTATTTAACTGTATATTTTAAAATTAATTTTTATTTTAGAAAATAATATATGACCACAGTTTTAGAAATAGCAAAAGTACTGAATTCTAATAAAAAATCAGTTCCCTGTCCCACCTTTCTGTATCCCCAGACCCATTCTCAAACGGGAGAAACCTGTAAGCAAATTAACTGCCAAATTTCTAAATATCTTTTTTTTTTTTTTTTCGGGAACGCGGGCCTCTCACTGTTGTGGCCTCTCCCGTTGCGGAGCACAGGCTCCGGATGCACAGGCTCAGCGGCCATGGCTCACGGGCTTAGCCGCTCCGTGGCATGTGGGATCTTCCCGGACGGGGGCACGAACCCGTGTCCCCTGCATCGGCAGGCGGACTCTCAACCACTGCGCCACCAGGGAAGCCCTAAATATCTTGCTATAATGCTACTTTTAAAAGCTTATCAATTTCGGACATTTTTCTATTGCCTCCTGGTTATGGTAGATAGGATTAGTTCTCCTACCTTGCTATCACCTCTACTTCCCCTAGCCTCCCAATATAGCTATATTATAATTTTTGGTTAAACCCAAATAGTGTATACATTATCACAAATATTGCTCACAGTTGAGCTTAGTAGCCCACTATGACTGATTTCTTTGTTGAAGCTCCTTTTTTCCCCCTAGAGTTATTTGCTCTTTTTATTTGTGTAGTTTTCTGTATATCTGGGAAAAGAGAATGCTACTCTCCCCTCCTCCCCAAATTGTGCCAAGCAATTAAAATTTTTTTCAAAATCTCAACACAGCAAAAAAATCTTACCAAGTCCGTTGTTTTCCTGAAGACACTTCTGCCTTCCAACCTGGACTAATTGTTCTACAGCCCAAATATAGAGTTCTGACCCAAGGCCTTCTCTTCACACTTCTCAGTTGGATCCCTAATTTTCCTGGATCTCATGTTGTCTTCTTTCCTTCTCCTGAAGCATATCCTATAATCGTTTTCGCAGAAAGATTGTCAGGGAGGTAAATTTTTGTACTTCTGTTCTACTTTTACACTTGACAGATAGGTTGAATATTGCAATTTCAAGTTGAGAATTACTTTTCCTTAGAATTTCGAAGGCATTTTAGAGCTGAGAACACAAAGATCCTCCTAGTTGAATAGACAAACGTGCTTTCCTGGCTTTCTCACTAAGGCACTCATTAGACAGTGAAACTGATTGTGGTGTGGATCCGGTCCGACCTTCAAGAAGCTCTCCTTGCCAATCTTATGAAGGCTTATATACTTCTTGATACCCCCTCGTATTTTGGAGCCTCTTGGCTATGTGCTTGTCCTTCTGTCAGGCACATGTAACTGCTACCAACCCAGCATGTTGGGTGCTAGATGAAGCTAAGCTCAGCTTCTCAGGTGTTACTATCCTGCTTGCAAGCCTAGCCTTCAGGCGTGCCTGATTTCTGTTCCTGCAGGCTTCCTTGGGTGGTAGTAGATTTCCCCCCACTGGGATTGTATGGACAAAGATGAATAATATAATTGATTCCTCGGGACTTTATAGGTGGGCATCTCTTAATAACTCTAAGAGAACCCCCTGACTTTGAGGTTCCATGATCCTGTGACTGTTAAATTGGAGTTCTTTGCCAACATGGCCCTTCCTGTGATCTTGGTTTGGCTTGCTTCACTTGTACTCATTCTTTAAGACTCAGCTAAGGGATTGTCTCCTCTGGGAAGCTTTCATCTTCATTTCTTTTCCTTTCCTATTAGCTGTGTATTTTGTATGTCTTTTTTTTTTTTTTTAAATCAGAGCTGTAGTGGTGGGGTGTGGTCTTTTTACCCAGGATATGCCTGCTGAGCCCCAGATGAATCCATGGACCCCAAAATAGATGGCAAGGAACAAAAAAGTGTTTTGATTCAGGAATGGCTGTCAAAAATGATGAAAATGTCACTGAGGGAAGTGCGTTTTTGTACATTCTTCATCAAATAAGACTTCTAGCTTTAAAGAAGAGAGGAGACTCTTATGGCTAGAAATGATCTTAGCAAATTCAAACCTTTTGATTTATTTTCAGGTGAGGAAAAATACAATCTTTATGGTGGAATGTTAGTGTGCCGTGGCATATATTTTAGAAAGAACATTGTATCTGAGGACAAGAAATCTGATTTTAAAATCATAGCTCTGTCATGAAGAGTTTAGGGGAGCTTAGGCAATAGTCTTATCTTCCACAAGCACCTCCTTTTTTCATCTTTAAATTAAGGGTAATGGTGCCCTCCCCACCACCGCTCCCTGGGTTGTGAGAATTAAATGTGACCTGGTATGCAAAAAAGACCTGGTGTGGTACTTATATATATTTTTCCAACTACAAGACTTGTTTCAGCAGGAAACACACTTTCCCAGTCTAGTAAGCTTGGAAAAATCTTGAGTGCTTTTAATAGTGTTAAATGATGTTAATAAGTTACTGTATAGATATCCTAAATTGTTTTATCTTTCACTTATGTAAACAAGCTATGGAATTTGCAGTGATGGGTGCTGGTAGCTTCTGGAAAAATATTTGTACTGTATCTATTGAGCCAACCTATGTCTAAGCTATATTCAAAAGCATAATTTTGTCTGCAAGAAAGTCTCCATGGTTGTGGTCCATTGTAACAGAGCTCCCTTTAATAAAGTCTACCACATCCATACCCATGCTTCTTTGATTTGGAATTTGACCAGTATATTTAATTGGTGATTAGTCCAGCGTTCTTTAGTATATATGTGGCCAATGCTGAATTCATAGTGCGTTAAAACTATTTAAGATAATTTGTATAAAACATATCCATATACCGAGATAATCTATAAACTGTTAAGAAATCTATATAAAGTAGAATTACTCATAATGACCTTTCTGTGGAACATGAATTTTTTTCCAGAATAATTTAGAAGAGGATGAAGATGTGGAAATGAAAAATAATATAACCCAGGGAGACAAACTACGTGCCTTAAAAAGTCAGAGACAGCCACGCTCCTCACCATCGTGTGCATTTAGGTAGATCTATTTGAAACTTCTAAATTTATATTGTACCTCCATTTGTGGATAGAATATTTAATCTTCTCTTTTGAATATCATTCTACAAGTACTATGTTTACCTCTCATTTTTTGGCTTATTACTATTTTGTGTCATTCTTTTATTATTTTATCACCGCGGGGAGTAGCTAGATTTTCGAAGCTTATTGAAAGCAGCTGCTGCATCTTAATCTCTGGAATTCCACCTTAAACTGCTAAGCAGTTGGTTGTCTTCAGGACGCTTCAAAATTCCACTTGGAATGGACTCTTCTCCTGTGAATGGGTTTCCTGTCCTCTGGTGAATTCTCACAGATGTGCCAAGCATTTGTATTTAATCTAGAGTGTGCAGATAAGTATAGTATGCCCAGCTTTTGTTATATCCTAACTCCTTAGCCTTACTTTCTATTTTTGAGAATTAAATAAGCAATTCTTGCCTGTAAAGTTATAAACCATCTTGGTTTGGAGGTCTGAAATTACTCATCAGAATCAATTGATGGGACTTAACTTCTGACCACAACCTTTGAAATCTTCTGATAATTCAGATTAAGTGAAAAAAAAAGACTTCAGAATCAATGTAGGTACAAAAATCTGTAAATATCAAGATTCTTTATTGTAATGTAAGGAATGGCAAGTCCACAAATGAATATAACCAGAAGTGGCTACTTTCCTTTGGTTTTTAAGTGAGAGAAATGCATAGCAAGAGAGATGTTTTGCTAGTATGATAAATGTCAAACAGACTTCTCACAGGGAATTTAGTTTTATGTATTATCTGGGAGGATTATAACACTTAAGTCAGGTTGGGTCTGGTCATACCATTATCTGTGCTTTGGGTACTGGTTTCCTGCCCTGAAAAATGAAGGTTCGTATAGCTCAAAGTTGAGGTGATTGTTTTCTATAGTAAAATGGAAAGGTGGGATAGCAAGTTTGGTACTTAGTAATAATCACCAACTACCACTAGGAAGTTGAGGAAATGTACCATTTACTGAGCAGCTGCTATGGGCCAGGAATCTTGTTAGGTGCCTAGTTTGGACATGAGGATTAACCGAGTTAACACAAAAGGTGTGCACCATTACCCACATTTGTGTTGGTTGCTTGAGGTCAGAGAGGTTAAATCACTCCCTAGCTGTTATTCAAGCCCAGCACTGTTCAAAGTTCATGCTCTTTTCACTATATATATTGTCTAAGTCAGTGGAAGTTTCTTCAAGATCAGTTTACATTACCAATTTTTTTTTTTTTTTTTTTTTTGCGGTACGTGGGCCTCTCACTGTTGTGGCCTCTCCTGTTGCGGAGCACAGGCTCCGAACGCGCAGGCTCAGCGGCCATGGCTCACGGGCCCAGCCACTCCGTGGCATGTGGGATCTTCCCGGACCGGGACACGAACCCACGTCCCCTGCATCGGCAGGTGGACTCTCAACCACTGCGCCACCAGGGAAGCCCACCAATCTTTTTTTTTTTTTTTAATTCACCATTTTTTGTTTGAAACTCTAAGAAATTGCATCATATTGATTAAAATTAACTTCATACAGATTTATGTTTGATTTTTAAGAAATCATAGGGGGAGGAAAGGGTAAGTTGGGGTGTAACTTGACAAATAAAAAGGCGAAAGAAGCCAAAGAATCTTCACTACACAAAACTTTAGAAGGTTCGTTCCAACATGGTGTTTTTCTTTTTCTTTTTATCCTCAGAAATATTCTCATTTTTTGGAATTTAGTTTTTCTTAAAAGCATCATGGCACCATGATCAAACATTTTTAACCTGAGTAGATGCAATACCACCTTCTGATGAAAAAGCATTTTGCTGTAAATGAAATTCAAGAGGAAACAAAATGACTAAAATAGATTTCCTGCTGGTTCTAGGATTTATTTTATAAAGTGAATAAATACTAATATCCATTTGCAAGGTTTATCCCTCTTGCCCATTTAATAATTTTGCTGGTCTGACTCCAGATGATGTGACTTTTGGTCTTGGCTTAAATGTGTGACCCTGGTGTTGTGTGAACATTTGTCTTTGGTTTCTGTAGGTTGGAGGATATGAAAGGGCATCCAAGAGCAGTGTCCCAGCCTTCCAGGTACTGTCAACCAGGTTGAATTTCCAGTAGCTTATAAACAAATGCTACCCTTTAGATACATTTCCCAACTCTTAAGCCCATAGAAATAAACTGCCCACAGCTTTTCACTTTTAAAATTCCTTCCTTTCTGTTCTAGATTGTTACAATATGCTTTGTATTTAATGCTCACCATGCAAAAATGTTATTTTCCTGAGGTGTCTACAGGGCCGTATGGCTGTGGGAATGATGCCAATGTACTTGGTGTGCCCAGTGCATGGTGGGATCTCTAATAAACTACAGTGGCTCTGCAACATGCCTTTCAAGCCAGTGATAGATTTTGCCTTGAATTTTTAACATTTCTGTTATTCTTCTTTCCTCCTATTTTTGCACGTATTTGTTCCCTTCCTTTGTTTTCTAGTTTTATTTCCTTCCCTATTCTCCATTTGAGGAGGAAACATTAGTGTTTTTCTCTGGAAAAATGTTCCCTGAACACTCCCTGGTGGTCTAAGTGATACCAGGATCCAGGGTAGGTCTTAGTGAGGGCTGTAGAAATGTTTGCCCAAAACTGTCATCAACAGATGGGGAAAAAAAGCTGATTCACTCCTCAGCTCTGTTCTTATTCAGCTCTAGGTTTTAGGGTTGTTTAGTGAAGGCAGCTCTGAGATGGCCCAGACTTCTCCAGAAGCTTGAGCTGCTTCCTTGTACAACTTTTCCTGTTCTTGATTTAGAGGCAAACCATGTTGTAAGCTGCTGTTTGGAGGGACGATGATGAAGAAAAGAGTCTACAAGTAAATCAGCTTTTCTATAGCAGATAGGAAAACAGTGTCCAGCTACATTAAAAGATTTGTCCAGGACAAAACACATTTGGTATTAAAACCATGGCTGGGCCCTGGTAGTCCAGATTTGAGTCACTTTTCCCTTTTCGTTCACTCAGCAAATATTTCCTGAACACCTACTCTGAGTCTGGCACTGTGCTAGTCTGGGAATTGAAATGAGAAGCAGTTCTTTGCTCGTAATGGAGCTAATTTCGAGGGAAGTAGACGATATTAGACAATGAAATGTGGTACAAGAGCTGTGATTTACTATGAGAATATATGATGAAACTTGATGCTTACCCCGCCTGGGAATTCAGTGAAGGCTTGCTGTAAGAGGTAACAGCTGATTGGACCATTAAAGGATAAGCAATGGGAGTGAGTCAGATGGAGGTGGAAGAAAAAGGTGTGTGTGGAGGTGAGGTAAGGACAGGAGAAGATGCCTTGGCAGGAAAAATAGCGTATGCAAACTGGACAGAGGTGTGGACGCCGTCTATCCAGGCATCTCAGGGCATTTTCTGTAGCTGGAGAAGAGGTGTCTGGTGGGAAAATGTGGAGAATTGGCAAATGCCAGATTTTGGAGGGTTTTAGAAGCCAAGCCAAGAAGTTTAGGCTTTCTGGGCACTGAAGAAAAATTAGATGGTTTAAACAGTGAAGCGACATGATTAGCTATTTTAGATTTTGTTGGAGGCTATTCGGAATGTGAGTTTTAAGGAACCAGATTAAAAGGTGCTGCTAGGTGTCAAGGATAAGAAATAATGATGGCCTCTCCTAGGGCAGTTGCAGAGTGGAAAGGTAAGGATAGATTTGAAATATAGAGAGGTAGAATCTCAGGACTTGGAAGGAATGAATGCCAGTGTCAAGGAAGGGAAGTGATCAAGGATGGCAGGATGGTAGTTACCCCCAGGACTTTGGATCCTGGATTTGAATCCCAGCTTTGCCTCTCGCTCGCTGAGTGACTTTGGACGAGGAGCTTTTCCTTTGTGCCTCCATTTGCTCACTTGCAAAGTGCAGTCTTCGCTACCTCGTGGGGTTGCTGTGAGGAGAAGCTGAGTTAATGTCCGTCAGGTTCTTAGATGAGCGCTCAGCACAGAGTGAGGGCTGCGTCCGTGTTGGCTACTGTTACTAGGACCTGCCATGATCTCTTTAACGTTTATTAGTTTATCTTGTCCTAGTCTATTGCTGAATGTTAAGATAACACAGCTTTTGTGTGACGCTTTGCCCATTTTTCTCCACAAAGATTGAGTTCTTCCCCACAAGGATCTGCATCTGCTTTGAAGACCTCAAAAGTGGCTTTGTCCCCTTCGGTGATGGCCAAGAGGATAAACAGAGGCTCTTTGTCCTCAGGCACCAGTGTAAGAAGGTAATTTTTCTCTCCTCCTTCTGAGGCACTGGCAGGAGGTAAAGGAAGGCAGCAGCAGACAATGAGTTTGGCTGAAGTTTGTGAGAGGAGGGGACTGGGGGAAGGGGAGAAACCACAAAAAGCACTGCGACCCTCTAGGCTTCTGTTCCTGTCTTGAATTGTGGGGACATGGCCATGGAGGGAATGCTGTACGGCATCCCTTTCCAGAGCTTGCCCAACATGATCCAGGGAACAGAGCTCAGTGGCGCAGACTAATAATATACGACATAGTCATTTCTCCCCTGATGTGTATGGGCCGAACTAAAATGGGTAGGGATGTTTGATGTAGTCATATGATTGAATATATAGAAGTTAAATCTTGTACTTAGGTCTGCTTTGTACTCTCCCCTTATATAGTCCTTTTCATTTACTTCCTGCCACAGGGCAAGTAGAAACCCGCACATATTCTATTTCAGGATCTCTGGTCAAACTGTTCTAGCCAGCTTCTTGAGTCCTAACTACTTTTGACAGAGGAACTTACCATGTGTAACTAAAGGCCACATATTATAATATCACCAAGAGCAATTCTGTCACCAGTTGCGTTGATCAGAACTGTCTTCATCCCATTCCCCTAATGTCGTAATCATGTGTTTTAGAAACGTGAACCCTGTGTGAGTATACATGGCTGTCTATGTTCCCCCCCTGCCCCACCTGTGTTTTTCGTTCAGCTTTTCCATGAACTCCCGGCTAGCCAGTTCTCTAGGGAACTTGAACGCTGCAGCAGACGATCCAGAGAACAAAAAGACTGCCTCACCCTCCAAGGTGGGTTTCGTAGGCAACCCGTTCACCAGCCTCTTGAATGGCAGCTCCCAGCTGCCTGCCAGAAATTACCCTGAGCTCAACAACAACCAGTACAGCAGAAGCAACAGCAGCAGTGGGAGTGCCCTGAACAGTCAGCCAGGCCCTCACAGCGCCAAGACCGAGGATCACGCCACCGCCCTGCGGCCCTCCTACACCGGCCTTTCTTCTTCCTCAGCGAGATTCCTGAGCCGATCAATCCCTGTAAGTTCACAGACACCACCTCTTGGCCCTCAGAACCCTGAACACAACTTTTGTGCCTTGCCTTCCCAGCCGAGGCCGCCACCAAAGAAATTTAATTGCGCCAAGGAAGCCTTCTGATCGATGCCTTCCCTCTGTGCTTTGTGAAACTGTCTCTGCACGTACATTCTGCTGGCTCTTCTTCAAGTAAATGCCAAGTGTCGACCCAGTTTTCTTCCTTCCTTCTTTTTCTTCTCCTTTTCCCACTCCTTTTAAAGTGATTTCTCTAGGAAGGGTAGCAGCTTTCATTCCCTTCATCATGGACACCGTTGTCTTCAGTTACTTTTCACTGAAGTTTCGAATCACTCAGCAAAGTCAGGGGTCGAGTCATACGACAGACAGCATCTGCTTTGGTTGTAGTGGCTTTTTTTTATCCTGGCTTTTTCTACATCATTTATCAGTGGATGAATTTGGAGTATTTAAATGTGGAAGGTGTTGAATGAACAGTGTCTTCTCAGAACTAACCATCAAGCCCTTGACTAGGTCACCTGCAGGGAGCTGACCCAGAATTATTAAATGGCAAATGGAGGGTGCTTATATGGCAGGTTTATGGTAGGTACTCGGGATGTAGGGGACGGGAAGGCAGGGTAACAGGAAGACGTTTAAAATTAGCTGTCACTCTTCTAGAGACAGGATGGAAGATCTCCAAACACATTTTACCCATGAGCTCTTCATTTTGGTTACCAAGCCCCCTTTGTGACCAGTAATCCCTATTAGGGTAAAATCTTGTTGGTCCACCCCCCCCCCGCCGTGAATCACTTTAATCACATATTTTGATTGCCTCAAAGGGAATTGAGATCTATGGGAATGTGAGTTTTGATGTGAGAGAACAAGGACAAGATAGGAAGGAGAAGTAGAAATAGATGCCACAGATCAAGGCAATGTCAGTCAATGTTAAAATGCAACATTGACTCCACTCAGGCACAAGCAAGCCCCAGGTGTTCTGGGAAGGCTGTGGTCTGGCACCCCTTCATGTCCGCTGTTCTTCAAACACTTCCTCAGCCATTATCCTGGAAGAAGCGGGTCTCTGCAGGGGAGGGGAGGGGAGGAGAAGTGCGGGTGGCAGTGTGCCTCTCACCGCCTCTCAGCAAATCCATACCCCATGGTAAAAGCTAATGGGACCCACTTTCCCTAGAAGGCAGTTTAGAAACCACCTTGTGAATGTGAAGATGCAGCGTGTGTGTGTGTGTGTGTGTGTGTGCGTGTGTGTGTGTGTGTTGGTTGGACTCATTACTACTCCCATCCCTACCTCAGGCCTCTTTCAAAGTTTTTTTTCCACTCTATCCACACACAGTCCTTTCTGGCACATATGATTTCCCCCAATCTGATTTTATTCCCAGTGATGTTTCTCAACATTATTTTAGATTCCTGTAGAGACTATAGCCTAGGCCCACTCTATCCCTTAATTTGACTCTAATCCCACTAAGTTATGGGTACATATGTATCAGTAAAACTTAAATCCTAGTAACTGGGATTAGATGGAAAATGAAGTGTATTTATTATACATTTTTATAACTAGTTTTACAAGTCATTATACTTCACAGCAGGAATTGAGTTCAGTCAATATTTTCATATACTGATTGTGGGTCAGCCTCTTTTTTAGACCAGAGTACAGGTCTCTCCATTTTCAGAAAAAGTGTTATATATATAGGTAGATAATTATATGAATACCTTGTAGATTTCATGGCTAAAGGTTTTGTGTAATCCACATTTATAGCTCAATACCAGAAGGATTGGTAGCTTGATAAGAATGACATTCTACTTGTTCTGGATCTCAGTTTTCCTCTTTGCTAGTGGCAGCATGGGAGCTTCCTTTAGACGATTGTTAGTCCCCTAGCCACCATGTTTATATAACTTGATTTTGGTTTCCTTCCACATTTTCCCTCTCCTGGCCTGAATACAGTGATTTTCCAATAATTAAATTTAAAGTAATACTCTGTGTGGGCAGCTGCTGCTTCTTGCCCTTCTCCTTCTTAAATTTGTCATCTTATTGTAAAGAAAAGCATTTATAAATAGAATTGCCATCAAGACAACATTTTCCTCCCTCTCACCCTCCCAGGAAGTAAGAATAGCCAGGTGTCTTGTAGCCGATTTTCCCTCCTTCATCTTTGCCTAGACAACGTCTGTGAGAGGGAGGGTTCCAAGTCCTACCCCTGCTGGCTCGCTGGCAGAAGGTCTAAATTAAGATGGAAACTCCCATTTTATGGGGAATAAAGTAGGAGGTTGGGAGTTTTTTCCTTTATCGGTTCAATGAAGCTTTTCTGATTGTTACAGGTTTCTTGTCTAAATAAGATGGTCCTTTTTTCCCAATGCTTCTGAAGATGTGAGACATATGATCCTTGAAGAACTAGGAATAAATCACTCAACAAAAATGTTTTTAAATCCTTAGGTAGGAAATGAAGTCTAGATGGCAATATCCTCCTCGCACCTTTAAGAAAGACCCCGAAACTCCTAGGGGACGGGGGTTGCTGGGTGTTTAGAGGGCGTCTAATATTTTAAAAGCTGCAATTAGCATCTCTTCTGAAAGCTGCAATTGCTTCTCACTTTGTGCAGCAGTTCAGCCCCCAGAAAAATGTGGAAATGATTTCCTTGTTCTGTCATTAAATGCTTTAACACAGATAACAAGAACAGATGTTAAGGAATCCTTATGGTTGTGACAGAATTCTGAGAAGCAGATTTTATTTTTAATTGGACTGTTCTGTTAGTCTTGAGGTTTCTACTGACCAGTGCAATGCACCAGGTTTCATTTTGGCCGACCCACCTACTGTAAAAAATCAGTTTTCCCTCCCTGACGTTCAGAGGCGTTTTCAAATCTTAAGAGATGAGGGACGTGTGATTACAGCGTGGGTGGGGTGGAAGTATTTTATTAAATTGAAATTACTTGCGGTATCTGTCTTGAATACTTGCTCTGTGTTATTTTTAAGAGACTTACCACTGAATTGCTATTCATCGGCATTGTCCTTACCTGACCCTGCAAGTCTGGGTTAGGTCACAATGCTTCCCGCATAAGCTCTTCTACACCCTGCCTTGGTCTTAATTGCAATACTCAGATTCTCGCTCTGCATTTTAATCAGCTGTTCACTAGTCTGTATCTTCTGCTAGACTGTAAGTGCTGTGGCGGCAGGGCCAGTGTCTGTTTTTCACGGTTGTATGCTCTGTGCCTTGCATGTAGTAGGCATTCATTAAGTATTTCTTGAATGGGTATATTATGGATGGCTGGGTATTTAAATGAATGAATGTGGTAAGAATTATTGCTTCCATTTTAAAGGTAAATAACTTGAGGGTTTGAGAGTTTAAATATTTTGCCTTAGATTGTACCACAAATATGTAGCAGAGCCATAATTTGTACCTGGGTCAGTTTGACTCCAAGAAAGCATATTCTTTTGATTACATCATGTCATAGATATGCTGTGATATGTGTTTAAAATAGAGGGATATCTAAAGGATATGCCTTTTTTTCCAAGAAGGGTTAGGGAAAGCTATGAAGAAGGCATAACATTTTAGTTGGGCTTTGGAGGATGAATAGGAGCCTTCTAGAAATCTAGTGATGAAAATAGGAAGACGGAGAATGGTCATTTCAGACAATGGGAGCTACAAGAACAGAGGTACAGCCTTAGTACTATAGTTAAGTTCTTAGTTTCTAAAGACGAGTAGACCTGGGTTCAAATCCTGTCTCTACCATTTCCTTGTGGTGAGTACTTTGGCAAGTTATTTAACCTCTCCGAGCCTCAGGAGATGGGAATAATAATTTTCAGGAGCATATTTAGGTTTTGTGCACCTGAAACTTATACAGTTTGGTGAGATCTGTTTAAGATAAAGAGTACAAACTATTTTTGTAAATTGTATACAAACATATGACTGTGTGCTTTGAAAGGGGTTTGTGTGACTGTGAGGCCTTAAAGCTTATGTGGTAATGATAATAATCTTTGTAATAGGGTGGTTGTGATGATTCATTGAGATAAATCATATGAAATAGTTTACACAGTGCCTGTAGATAATGCTCAATAATTTTAGCTATTATTGTTTTAAGAGCAGTGAGTATTCCAGTGTAGCTAAAGCCAGGGGTGGTTACCTAAAGATAAGGCTGGAAAATTAAGCTGAAGCCAAACTGGGAGGTGCAGTGTGAGCTACTGGAATCTTGTCAGCAGGAGTGGCTTGATCAGATCTGATTTGATGAAGATAATCCTGGCATTCATGGGGATGGGAGCTCTTGCTAGAAACCCTGAAGGCAGGAGACCAGTTTGAGCCCTGTCTGCTGTCTCCCAACCCTACCTCAGCAGGTTTCTTTCGGTAAATTCTATGCTTTTCAACAATTACGCTGTGTTTCAATGCACATACGTAGTAGTATAGATACTATTAAATAATCATATATGACCAATAGCTCTAACATATTTTTACTATGAAATTTTAAATGATATATTTATTTTTATAAATGGAAACTTAGCTATTGAAAAAAAATTATGGTCCTTAGAAAACATATTTTTTACAACATTTGACATGAGGAGTTGTAAAATAATGTGCTTTGTTATAAAAATACACATATATAGTCAGGTTGGCTACAAAGAATTTTTTGTGACTTCTGTGTCAGAAATTAATCTTTGCTTGATGGGAACAGCCTTTTATAACAAGCTTTTATCGTATTGACCCGTAGGGAATATAAGCATAAATAAGATAAGCAGTCCTGTAATAAGGTTCTTCTGAAAGCTTCTTTGGGTATCACCTATTAAAATCTTTTTTGTGACTTTTAAAATTGTTAAGTAGTAGCTTATACTAAGCTTTGTTATTCACTCATATATTGATCTTCAAACATTTTCAAGAATATTCTCTTAGTGATGTTGCAGGTTATGTCAGTGATGCCATTCATTGTCTCTTGGAATTTTCCCATTCTTCTCTATTCTGCTGCTTTCTCATCTTCTTTGTTGTGTTAGCCTTGTTGATAATCTTCTTAACTCAGTCTTAATTCA